AAACATCACTGAGCCAAAGTTATGAATGAAGACATTTCAGCCAGAGGTTGGAGCGACGTTACGGGAAACCTAATTTCTGAAGACTAAACAGAAAAGCAACAATGTCCCTGTGGCAGAAGCACTAAAGACAACAGATACTGAGGAGCTTGTTGACTGACAAACAATGTAGAGCTTTTATAGTTTGCCTGCACAAAAGAGCTTTACTGCAGCTGATATTTAGAGTATGTGGGGCAACAAAATGCTGAATCAAGCCTATTTTAATGCAACCGTCAATGACGTTACGACGAACTTGACATTACTAAATTGCTCAAAAGAGAATCGAAAGGTCTAAAATACTCTCTACATCATGCACCATTCACAGATATGGTGATGTTCATAAAGACAGAGTGTCAGATGGTGCATGAGCATGTATGAAAGATTTATTTTCAAGTATCACAGTGAGATGAGGACCACATGACTTTGTTCTAACAAAAAATGTAAATATAAACCTCATATACATCTTCAACTCCAGCAAACAAGCAACACATATCAAGAACGCTTGTATGTAGCGCACACTGGCACCTGGGCACATGATTCAAAGCCAAATATTTACCAAGTTTGGACATTCTACGAAATAATTCTTGCTATGCAAACTGGTAGGCAAAAGCAACATAGTGAAATACCAGACCCCATGTTTGGGTACGGGGCCTCCAGTGGTTGAGTGAGCTTTGACCTAAAATAGGTCTGAGAATGTGGATATGCTCTATGAATAGAGATAAAACAGACTGTGGAAGGGAAAAAAATCAAAAAGATAAAATAACTGAGGGGCCTGCAAATAAACCTTCAGACATCAGAGCATAAAAATGAATTTTGTGTGGATAGTGGTTTGCTGAGGGCATGGGAAAATCTGCACCCACAGAGAAGAAACTCTGGTTCTTTTGAACAGTAATGCAATCATGTTGCCAGACAGTGTCTGAAAGGATTTCTGTAATTTGAGAGCTTGTCCTGTATTGTGTGGGTCTTTGTAAGAGGGCTCCAGCAGAAGACGAGCACACAAAGGACTTAACTGTGCACTATCAGAACTGATCTTTGTGGAATTTTTATGTGTGAAGCCTAAAAGCCCAGTTGATTGCCTTTCTTATGTTTGATACCACAGAGACAAAATAATTGTTTTAAAGGAACAGTGTGTAAGATTTAGGGGGATGTAGGGGGATTCAATGGCATCTAGCAGTGATGATTATAGATTGCAAACAGCCGCAAACTTCTCCTGGTTAGAATTCCTTCCATGTTCATTGTTCAGGAGGTTTTTACCAGGAGCCGAATTATACACAGAGGTCTCTTCCTCTCTAAAACAAACGTACCAGGTGATTTAAACAGGTAAAAACACTGAATAAAGCAGTTTCACGTTACCAAACAGTGTTTCCCCTGCACCGTTTAGTACCTTGCAAACAGGCCGCTTGCCCAGCACCTGCCAATAGGTGCTCACCCTATTTCTGAACTAGACATTCAGGAGGTTGTTTTATCATGAGCTAAATTATCCGCAGAGGTATCATCCTCTCCAGAACAAAGAGACCCAGTGATTTTAACTGGTATAAACACTGAATAAGGTTTCACATTAAAAAAATCAGTGTTTTTCGATGCTCTTGTCACAGAGGGGCTTCCAACTTTGGTGGCAGACATGAAAATGGCCCTATCTAAAGCCAGTATTTGGTTGTCCATTCTGGGACACTGTAGAAACATGGCGGTGCAACATGGCGGACTCCGTGGACGAGGACCCACTCCCTATGTAGACATGAACAGCATCACACTGGGCACCTGGAAGAAGTTTCAGTTGGTTACAATTAGCAGTCCTCACCACTAGATGCCACTAAATCCACACTGCCCTTGAAAGTTTTTCAAATATTAAGTGAATTATGATCTATTCAAAATATGTAAGGAAGAATTATTTTTTATTTGTTTGTCAATTTTAAGGTCCAGTGTGTAAAATTTAGGGGGCTTTAGCGGCATCAAGTGCTGAGGACTGCAGATTGCAACCAGCTGAAACTTCTCCCGGTTAGAATTCCTTCAGTGTCCTTCACTGTCTTTCAATGCTTTTTTTGGTAATTTTGAGATACCTATTTACTTGTTCTAGCTTCTTTTATTGTCCAAATGCCATTTTAATGTTTATTAAAGGAAAAGTACATAGGATTTAGTGGCATCTAGCAGTGACAATTGCAGACTGCAACCAGGCGAAATTCCTCCAATGTGCCAAGAGTGAACTCCCGGTTAGAATTTCCTTAGTGTTCATTGTTCAGGAACTTTTTATCAGGAGCCAAATTATCTGCAGAGGTCTCTTCCTCACCAACATAAAATGACCCACTGATTTAAACCTGTAAAAACATTATAGGCAGTTTCACATTTAAAAAAAACACCCTGTCGTAACAGAGGGGCTTTCTGTAGAAACATGGTGGTGCAACATGGCGAACTCTGTGGACAAGGACCTGCTCCCTGTGTAGATATAAACAGCTCATTCTAAGGTAAAAAAACCCCACAATAATTCATATTTTTGGGTGATTATAGACAAAATAAAATATTACATTTATTCAGTTTCTGCAAATATATCCCCCTAAATCCTACATGCTGGACCTTGAAACTCATTTTTGTCCAAGTCGGGTTTAAGGCACTTTTTTAAGATTAAAATCAAACAAAGCAATAATGTATAAACTTCTGACTTAATATTTCAAGTCCCAGACTCAGATCTGACTGTTGTGTCTTGAATCAGCCTTTGGTAGGTCACTCAAAAGCCAACTTGGAGCTTTTATGTTTTAGAAAAGGAAAAACATCTCAACAACATCATGTCATTTCAAAAGTGCATGAATATTCAGTGAGTCAGGGAGGAATGTAACAGAGGAGAATTTCTTCATCTCAGACACTGTCAAATGAGGTTGGCGACTGGTAGTACCACTATTTGCCACTAGAGGGTGCACAACCCGGGCTACAGTATGGGAGACGACCAGAGGACACACCAACTGAGCTGAGATCTCTGTAAGATCACTATTGATATTAAAAAGATTAAAAAAAGGACTTCTAAAACCACGTTTAGCCCTTCCTCACATGCCTTCATAAGTATAAAATGGCGAGAATGTGACAGCCAAACTTTCCATCTCCATATAACTGTTCATAAGACTGACACGAAGTGGTCAGAGAATAAAACAGCGGAGTGTTTTCCATGTTTATTATGCCTCAGTAGGTGTCCGCTGCAGCGCACTGAGCGCTGTTATGCTCCGGGCTCTCCCGGGTGTCTGCGGTCCCTCCTCCATCAAACGTCAGAAACTAGTGGTATAAAACACGTGAGGCCATACCGACCGCTCAAAGTCGCATATACCTCGTTAACCTGACAGCCTGCGGTCTGCCTCCGCACAGACAATACAGAGGCAGCACATTTAGATGACAGAAAAACAGGAGACACATGACAAGCTGTGGGACGAGTTCAACCTACTGGACTGAGCACGAGAATGCAAAAGAAAAGTGTGTTTGTTTCTCCAGAGCTGGATAAATGTCATACATGCGGGATAGTTTCTGCTGCTCGGGACTTTTGAGCTGAGTTGTGTCTAATGGGCGAACACACACTTGGATTCCTGCTCATAACAAAAGGGACTGCCACGAGAAAAGGCATTAAGCGAGGAGTTTTCCATCATTAGTTCCCACAGGAGGCTGACACAAACACCAGCAGGGCTCATCAGTGTGACTTGACGGCTGATTGACACTGACCTTGGCAGTCCTCGCCTGTGAATCTGCAACGTTTCTCAACTACCGAGCGAAGCAAATGCAGAGAGAAAGATGCATTTGGGTAAGGCTTTACTGTTTGTCCTCCTCCTCAACTGCGCGACTCTGAGCTCGTCCCTGTCCACTTGTGCCACCGTGGATATCGACCATGTGAAGAGGAAGAGGGTCGAGGCGATACGGGGTCAGATTTTGAGCAAACTCCGACTCACGAGTCCTCCGGACTCGCTCGGACCCAGTAAGATCCCGTATCAAATCCAGGCTCTGTACAACAGCACCAAGGAGCTACTGGAGGAGCTCAGGAGGGATCGGCAGCAAAGTTGCGGTCAGGACAACACAGAGACAGAGTACTATGCCAAGGAGATATACAAATTCAACATGGTCTACGGGCCGCCAGAGAGCAGTAAGTATTACAGTTCTTTAGGTAGCTTTCACATCTTGTTCTGATGCCAGCAATTAACGGCTCCGTGCGTAATTACGCACCAAATGAAGAGTGGACGCCTAAAGCTTGTGCCAGCCAGACGCAACAAAATTCAGCTCTACTCTTATGTCATTGATAAATATCTACAGTATTTATAGCTTGTAGGTCAGCAACTGTTACCGAGTTTTAGGTCTGCTGCTCATTAAAGAGCCACCTTTTAAGAAATATAAAAACTAATATGGTTTTCACACCAAAAAGTTCAAATACCTATTAAAAAACGTACAATTAAAAGAAATATCCAGACTTTTTTTAAACATGTGAATAGTGTTAATTTCAAAAGTTGACACAAGATGTTTGCTACTTCAGGGTAAGATAAGATAAGATGAGATACACTTTATTGTCCCAAAGGTAATTTGTCTTGGATACATGCGGTACCTGCCGTTAAAAGATCCAAAAAAGTTATACATACAGTTCCTATATCTACACAGTCCATACACAGAGCTCTAGCAAAGTCCATTCTCAGTATATGTGTGCTGGAGGCTTCAAGTTTCCACGTCTGACTTGTGTGAGTTGCATACTAGAGCACATGGATGTCCAGCCTTGTTGTGATGTCACTAATCATCCTGTAGGTACACGTGTTAAACTCAGATTTGATGAATGTGAAAGCAGCACACATCATTCGACACGTTCAAGTGGAAAAACAACAAGCGAAACACATTTTTGAGGTCGAGGAGGGGGTGGGGGGGAGCTTAAATGAAAATATTGTGGACTAACATTCTCTCAAAAAAAGTCAGAGCTCTTTAGGTGAGATTGATGTGCGCTTGTAGTGCTCACCAACCTGTTTTAACCCTGCACCAGTGTTCCAGGAAAGTCGCTCTCCTCCTACTCCTGACTCCACTCTTCCTCCTCTTGTTTTTTTTCCTCCATGGATTCTGTCCTTCTCCCCAGATGTTCCCACTTCCTTTCCAGTCAGGCCCAAATGAGAGGGACATCTGCCCAGGCGAGGCGGATGGGGATGCCTTTAGGAGAAGGAGTAGGAAAAGTTAACAGAGGTGGACAGGAAAAGTTAGATGATGGAAGGACCTCCCCGTTAGTCTGGTTAGAGGCATCCCTCTCTCTCTGCCCCTGTCTGTGCAGCAGGAGTGGGGGTCCCGCACATCACTACCAACCACCTCCGCACTGACATGGAGCTTGGAGTGACCCCCCACTTCCTGTCTTGGCCGGTGAATTACCCACACGGGTGGCCCATGAGCATGAGATCACTTAATGCACTGCTCAGGTTGCTAAATTGAGTGTGAAACTGAGCCAGCATCCATCCTCTTAAACCTGAATGATTCCACTGTGCCGTCATTTTATTGCCTCTAGGTAACGTTCATTTCACTGCTCGGTTAATAATGGGTTTTATTTTGCTCGTGAAATATTTGTTGAGATTATCAACGAAGGCCTGTCAGGCCCACATTGTTCTCACTCCAAGTAATTTGTGCTAAACCTCTATTTGGCACAACTGTTTCCTCTATAGAAATAAAAGCCCTGAACTGGAAGTGGAAAACCTGCGCTGAGAGGGACATGTGTCAGCACTTGAGGGAGATTCATGCAGCATGTGGTCCGGCTGAGTTTGGATTACTGAGAAAGTAGAATAGGATAAATGCTGTGCGTGTGTAAGAGCCAGAGAGGGCCTCATGGTCTAGAGCAAAGCCAAGACCATTGCATCACAGTTCCTTTGAAATCAACAGGTGTTTCTCAAAAGACCTATTTTCCCTCAGCAATGTTCTGTTTTGAATCTCGCAAAAATGGTTTTGACAAAAACGCCAGGCAGTAGGTGCCTCGAGTTGGTGGGGTGGTTTCAGAGCCACAGATGGACTTTATGATGCAAGACATATTTACATACATGTACTTTTTCCTTACAGTTGGGTTAAAGATCATAGTTTATTAATGGTATCGTCTTTGTGCCTGATTTTGATGTGATCAGCTGAAGTGAAAAAGGCTGAGTGTCAGTATAACAGCATCAGTGCTGAACTGATATACGTGCACCAGTCAACCTCTCGACTTCTCAGATACTTAAAATGTCGACAAGCCTATAATATTCTCCAATTCTTACTTTTTACTCAATCCCTAAACTGTGGTAATGGCATGGCGGAGTATTTTTTGTGTGTGTCCAAAATGATCTCATACTTGGAAATATGCATTTTGTCAATACCCTGTACGTCCACATGCATATACTGAGCGTGCTCTCAGACAAGTTAATGGGATTTTCATATGGTGGAGCAGGCAAGGTGAAGAATTTTATAGATTCACTGCGCTGATCTCCGACTCTACTCTGGCAGTTAAATGACAAAGAGACCAGCACACTAACACAGTATATTATGGATATAATACAGATATTATGTGACTTTTTAAATATTCTGTATCTTTATCAGGTTTGCACTTTAACAGGAAGTAATTAAGGTTTTAAAAGTTTAACCTTTCCGATCAAAAGTCAAAGCATGTATGAGTTTTACTTAGGAAAGACCTATTATACGCATTTTAACATTCATATTTGTATTTTTGGTTTCAACTAGGACATGTATACATGGCGGTACGGTGATGCAGTGGTTAGCATTGTCACCTCATATCAAGAGGGTTCATAGTTTGATCCCGGGCTGGGTGCCGAGTTTTCATGTTCTCCCCATGTTAGCGTGGGTACTCCAGCTTCCTCCCACAGTCCAAAGACATGCAGGTTAATTGGTGACTATGAATTATCCGTAGGTGTGAATGTGAGTGTGAATGGTTGTCTGTCTCTATGTGTCAGCCCTGTGATAGTCTGGTGACCTGTCCAGGGTGTACTCCGCCTCTCGCCCAATGTCAGCTGGGATAGGCTCCAGCATCTCTGCGACCCCCAACAGGATAAGCAGTTACGGAAAATGAATAAACAAACATGTATACATGCTTTAATATTCAAAAAATGCTCAATGTTCCTCACACTGTCTCTCCTGGAACACCTGTATTCACCTTCTATGTGAAATGGTTCATTTTAGCAGCCGTCTCTTTGAACCCCCCCATCCCAAAAAAGCCCAGTCTACTCTGATTAATCATTGTTTCTGGGTCTTGCGTATCTCTGTGTGTTTCTGCACTGTCAGCGCAGCAGGGCAATGACTGTAACGGCAATTTTTACTGGGGATGCAAGAAAATAATGAGCATTGTAGAAGCTAGCTAGCAAGCTTAGCATTCAAGGTAACAGTGCATTTCATTTGGTTGCCTGTCAATGGCGTTGTGGTCAGGCTAACACAATGTAGACTGTGGGCATAAGCCTGTCTTGGCCGCCTGTTTCAGATGTTATTATTTTCAAATTCACATTGCTATGTGAAACTAGTCTGGCTAGGGATCCACAATAACATCAGTACGTCATTGGTAATGGCCAATATCGGCCAACATGTTTTTTCTTTCTTTGCACAATGAATGGATATTACATACACTGAAAAGTATTGTATTTCATGTCTCCATCTGCTGGTGGGCCATCACAATAAGAGAATGCACACATATTATGATAATTCCACTACAGAGGAGACTTGCTGATCACTAAAATTAGGCAGGGATAAAAGTGGATATATCAAAATTGGTAGTGGTTATAGGTCAAATGAGCAGCTACATATCAGCATATCGGATATTGGGAAAAAAAAAAAAAAAATCCATTATCGTGCATCCCTACTTTTTACTGTGAAAAATCACTGATAAAAGCTTCTATACACAACCTGACATGGAGTATGATCAAAAACTGGAAGAAATGAACAACATCAGCAACCAAGTATGCATGTTTCCCTGACGTCTAGCTTCATGTAGCACTGTAGGCTACATGTAAACACTTGCACTAGCGTACCTTGAGCAGATTACCATATAAAGGAATCCAGCACATTATGACATCATACTGTCACCAGAGTAGAAAAAACTTTTGTAAACAGAGTATTCAGAACTGTCTGAAGCCTGAGATATTTGCTTACTGGGATTATTTGGAAGTTTGGCCACGTTTTAATATGAAAATCTGACACTGTAAAACTATCTATAGATATATCTGAATTGGTGTGGATGGGAAGCTAGCCTATTATAGCCCTACTTTACAATATTGAATAATAGGTGTATTTCATATACACATTTTGTCTTGTGCTGCTTTCAGTCCTCTCATCAACAGCTCCCGCACAAATGATGCACTTTGTGTATAATTTCTTCACAATCTGTCAAAATCAAATTTCTTCATAATCTGTCAAAATCAATTAAGTGGTGTGTCTGAAATGGACAGATGGCGAATGATCCAAAGCCCCTTTATAGTACTTTTCAGAAGACGTGTCAAATTTCCCTTCAACAAGTCTTCAGCACGACTTCACAAGTTGTCTCCAAATCCTACAAATCACAGTTGAAAATAAATCCATTTTATGACGTGACAACACTGTTGTTAAGGTTTGGGTTTGGTTCAGGCACAAACTCAACTTGGTTAGGTTTTGGAAAAGATCATGGTTTGGGTTAGAATGACTACTTCATTAAGGCTAGGGAAGCCTGGTTGTCATGGTGTCATAATAACAGTTTGTCAAAGTAAGGGAATGACCCGGGTCATGCTTTTAAAGAAACAATGGCCATCACCAGTCTTGTAGCCCAGTTGCAGCAACAAAATATTGGCACTGTATGTTTCTGCAAACCGCGGCTAAATTATATGTATGTATCATATCAGTGTTTCTAAAGTGTTACAGTTCGGATTGAAACGTAAAGTTTCAACATATTTGCTACATATCATGCAACTGTCACACATCCATGGTTTGCAAAAATACACAATGCCAACATTTATTCTGGGGACTGGGTTGGGTTTTGTTCGCCCATCCATCCTCACCAACCTCGTCACTACACAAACATTATTGCCAATATACAGTCACACTACTTCCTGCTTTGCTCCTGTCATAATTACTACGACCGCTACAGAGCTTTGTTACTTGAACGTAAACATATCGTTTTAGGGGAACCTGCTGCAACAACTTATGCTGTCAGAGATATTCTCTAATTAGCAGTTTGCTTTTTCAGCTTTCAAATTGACATTTAGGTTATGGTCTCTACTTGAGATTAGAGATGATAATGCCACTTCAGGAATGACCTTGTTTCGTGAAAGATGCATGTAAATTTAGCCTGAGTCTTCTTTGCCAAATGCAAAGGATAGTTTAAAAGGCATTTGTCCCTATCAGGTGCAGACAGACTGATTTTGTTACCTTCGGAGAGAGCCAGGCTAGCCATTTCCCCCTGATCCCAGTCTTTGCATTAAGCTAAGCTAACTGGCTAATGGCTGTAGCTTCCCAGCTACGTGCATTCCCCAAAATGTTGAACTATTCCTTTAAGATCACGCAGAAACAGTAGACTGAGTGAGACCAGTATTATGAGGACAAGGCTACCTTAGTGTGTCGTCCTTTGTGTTATAAGAGGACCAGAGGTGTAGCTTTGTGGAATAAAATTTTGACTCTTTGCCAGTGACATCACCCACTTTCCATCAGTCAATGTGGGCAAACACGCGCTCCCTTTTTGATGGTTTGTGAAGGTAAACTGTTGACCTTTGGTGGATCTGAGGCAGCTCCGTGAACCAACACAAATCCGTGACAGGTGCAAATGAAGCAGAAAGCTGCTGGAAGACTGGCAATTTACTACATTGAGAGGCTGGACTGTAATCATCGGAAAGATTTCCTTTTATAGCATGGTACGCATTCAGAATCTGGCATATGTCAATGACTGAGGTTGGGTTGTGGAGAAGTCATCATGGTCAGAAAGGGGTCTGGGTCCAAAAAGTTGTCAGTGGGACCGAGGATAGCAGGGTTTTTGATACGCAGATACCAGGGCGATGAAGTCATGCTAAGCTCAATAATATTGCCATTTCAATTACACCATTTTCATTTCCACCAAATATAGACAAAACGTGTTAGAGAAACACTGAGGAATTTAGATAAGGCAGGCAACCACACTAATCATACACTGTGGGCTGATAAACCCCGTGCCAGCCATAAAAGAGTCAAACCAA